TAGTAACATATTTTGATGTTTTTTTTCATTAAATAGATCAAAATCCAACCAACTTCTTGCAGAGATTTATCGTACAATGCGTTATCCGGTAGCTTTCCATCTTGGGTCGGTGAACAGAACCTTCAACTGTATGATCGAACGAACCCGGTTTCCTTACATTTATCGTTCGATTCAAACAAACGCGCTCACGTTTTTTTGTTTTTTTTGTAGCAATTTGGTTTCCAACAACTTCAGCATCAATAGTTCTAACAGCAGGTGCAAATGTACTAAATAAACAAATTTTACATGCTAACTGAACTTCTACTTAAAATTTGCTTCAATTCTTGTTTTTTCTTGGATTTTACCTAATTATCCTTCTCTGTTTGTTTGCTTTCTAGTGCTTTGCCTTCCGGTTTGGATTGTCTTCAGAAGAACTTTCCATGCGGGCGAGGGAACCCGACGTGTAAGTTACTGTTTTTTTATACTATATTTTAACTTCTCAATCTAATTTTTCACCTTTTTCCGGTATATAGATTCCAGCTTTGCCATTAACAGTGGCGGCCGGACCATCCGTTCTTCGGATCAAATTCTGTTTGAGAGCGACAACGAGACTTTGGGCCCGGCAATGTACTATGTCACCGCCTCACGTAGATGGGCAGTGAGCAATGTCGGCCTCCCGTCCGGTAGCATCAGCCCACAATACCAATACACTTCTCAGTCTCAGTCCCAGTTCACAAATACTCGGGACTCGGATTTGTTTCGAGACGCCCGTATCTCGGCCGGGTCATTGAGATACTATGGTCTGGGCCTCGAAAACGGGAACTATACCGTTAGGCTACATTTTGCCGAGATAGTGATTTCAAGCGCCTGGACCTGGAGGAACCTCGGGAGGCGTGTTTTCGACATATACATCCAGGTTCGTTTCTGAGTTTGGAACTTAGGGCTGCAAATGAACCCAGTCAAAGCTCGGCTTGAGCTCAAGTTTGACCAAACTCAAGCCGAGCTCGAGCGGCTCGAGCATGTTATCGAGTCGCTCTCGAGCATAGGTTTTGGAAGGTTACTTATTATATATAAATATTAGAATATTATATATATATATATATGTGTGTGTGTGTGTGTGTGTGTACTGAACGGTAATTTTACTTGAAATTTAAGTCTAACTCGAGCGATCTTTCGAGCATTTTGATTTCAATTGATCTCGAGCCGAGCCGAGCTCGAGCGAATGTCTTCTTTTGTCAAGTCGATTTCGAGCGTCATAAGACGCGCTCGAGCAGGTAAAAAAAAAATCAATTCTGCTCGATAAGGCCAATGCTATACTCGACTCGGCTCGGCTCGTTTGCAGCCTAGTTGGAACACTACTTCATTTTTGCTTACAACTTTTTCAAGCATATACTACTTAGTTTTAGTGACTCGAATTTTACGTGATCCAGGGGAACTTAGTGCAAAGAGATTTCGACATTCGAAGAGAAGCTGGTGGGGGGTTCGATTTGAGAACCGTCACGCGGGATTACAGGGCTCGGGTTATCGGAAATTATCTCGAGATCCATCTGTTTTGGGCCGGGAAAGGCACTTGCTGCGTACCGGCTCAAGGGACTTACGGGCCTTTGATCTCAGCTATAAGTGTAACACCAGGCATGCAAAGAGAAATAATTATCTGAAAATTAACCAACTTTGTGAGTATTTGCTAATACTGATAACTTATGGTAATTTTTTTTTTTCGGCAGATTTTGTGCCGACCGTGTCGAATAATCCGCCAAGTGGGAACACAAACAGAACGAGTATGATTATCGGGATTGTTTTCGGAGTCTCGGTTGTTGTAATCTTCGTTGCTCTAGGCGTTTGTTATATGTACAGAACGAAACAAATGCAGAGAAGAAAAATGGAGGATCATGGTAAGCTACTAAGCATACAGTTTTTTAATGGATTTGGTCAAAAGTAAAAACATGAAAACATGTGTCTTTACTACATTTACAGAGTTATCAGGGATCGAAACACGGACTTACACATTCAGTTATGCCGAACTAAAAGCCTCAACGAATGACTTCAGTTCGGATAATAAGCTCGGTGAGGGAGGATTTGGATCCGTTTACAAGGTAAAATCATTATGTTTTACAGTTGAGAAAATTTATGTCGATTTTTTTCTTTTATATATGTGTTGAAATTTACAGGGAACTCTTTCCGATGGGAGAGTTGTTGCCGTTAAGCAGCTTTCGGTGGCATCACAACAAGGGAAGAGCCAATTTGTGGCTGAGATCGAAACTATATCCGCCGTGCAACACCGTAACTTAGTTAAATTATACGGTTAT